TGCACCTTTGATATCGAGGTACACGACAACGGTGGGCCGACAATATATGTGACCGTACACCAACAACTGACGCAAAGTGAAGATGTGGTCAATGGAGCCACGACCTCGACGATACCCGGCTTGCTTTTTACGAATATGGCTTTCAAAAGTGGCAGTCAGTCTGTGAAGCATGACAGAGGCAAGCAATTTGGAGGCGATGGAGGTCAGACTGATTCCTCTATGGTTGCCGCATTCCGATCGTGAGCCTCCCTTGAAAATTGGGACTGTGATGGAGCGGCTCCAGTCGGTTGGGATAGTTTCCTACTTTTACAGTTTCACTAGTAACTCGTGTTTGGGCGTCCTCGCGGTATACTCAGCCCGCGCGCGACTGGTGGTGGTTGCGCGGCAGCGAAGCGCCGTTACGGCGTATAAGCTGACACATTTCATTTTTTTCATCTACAAGCGCAGGTCCCTCGAATTTGAAGGGGCTGGAGGAAGATCATCTGGTCCCGCAGCTTTATTTAACAGTCGGATCATACGTTCGACTTCTGAGGGAGAGGGTGGATCCAAAGGGACAGCCCATGGAGCAGGGCGATCAGTGGGCGGCGAGAAATCTAACAATTCCGACCGATTAAATTGCCTTTCAATGTGCTCAACCCAATGCTCCAAGCGTTTTGACAATTGTGAGTAGGCTGTCCACTCGTCATGCATAGTTTCACTAGCACCAGATCTCCTGCTGCCCGCTTCCCGTACCAGCCGGAATAACTTACGATGGTTACCAAGGGCAGTGGCCAATGTCATATCTGAAGCCCTATGAGACCACCAGAATTCGCGGTCTCTCTTCAGGCTAGCACGGAGTGTTGTCCGGAGCTCTTTGCGAGTTTCATTGTGTTCGCTTCCAGCCGGAATATGCCGGCGAGCATCGAGAAGTTCCAGAGACTGCGAAGAGACCCAATGTCCATGTTGGCGATTAAACTTACCACATGAGGATTTGTCTGCTGCTTGTAAGGTCTGGTGAATAATGGATCAGTGAGCTTCAATTGCATCCAGTAAGCGCTTACCCCCTGACAGCGTACTTTGATACTCATTCGGAACAGCTGGCTTCGTCAGTTGGCTGGTGTCAATGCGGTCACAACGTCGACTTTCGCGTTCGCAGAAACGCATCCGTAGGTCAGCACATACAAGTGCATGCTCGGTGTCCACACATGTGTTCCAAATCGAGCGACAGTTTTGGACGCAGCCTCTCCATCGGTAAGTTATCGCAATGTGATCGATTTGCGTCCATAGCTGGTTCGAGGCTGGTGGGCACTAAGTCACTCTCCAGCGGGTATTGTGTCCGAAATTAGTGCTCGCAAGAAATAAGCGAGCATCTACAAAGAAATGAAGTAACCGTTCACCGTTATCATTACGCGAGCCTACACCATGTTGGCCGCCCAGATGCAGTTCATCAGTGGATAATTTTCCAACTTGATCGTTCAGATCCCCAGCCAGCACTACAGTGTCCGAGCTAATTCTGTGGCAAAGGAGCTCGTTCAGTTGGCGGTAGAAGTTGTCTTTCACAGAATTATCGCTACAGTTCGTGGGCGCATATGCAGCGAGGATAAACAGACAACTATGAGCCCCGCCGGACTTCGAAGCTTTGAACGAGCCAGCTAATCGGACCGCACGCATCCGGCAACTGATTGGGATCCAATCAGCCAGTAGCTTCAGCCCAGGGACTCAGGGCACTACCAACACCGCCTTGGCCGCTACTCGAATCTGCATCGTCTTCGGATCGAGGCAATGAGAAAGCACGGCTATTCTTACCCGAAGGGGATCGGAAAGTGAGAACAGAGCTCGGGTCTTGTAGGCGGGTTTCCGATAGGCAGTATATATCGATCGAGAGGGTCTCTAATGTTTGGGTAAGTGTTGCCTGTTGACCGATCTGTAGCAATGTGCGTACATTGAGGCCTGCCAATCTGAGAGAGGATCGAGGGCTCCGAATGGAAGCCGATGAACTGGGCTTAACCGCTTGCCTGAACGTGGACCTGTTGACAGGGCAGGAATGATGCTCCGCCTTCACATGTGAGTTGAAATTAGAAGATGAACCCCTACCAATGCATGATGGGGGAGGGCCAAGAATTGGGGGGTTGAAAGCAGTGGAATAGAAGTGAAGTTGGAACAGGACGATTAGGGTGAAAAAGCGTAGTAGGGGGAATAAGAAGACAGAAAGGCTTGTGCAGTAGCATCTGAACCCCTATCCACCCTGCTCGATGCAGCAGATAAGACACCGTTAATTATTCTCTGCAGTGGCCAGAGTATCAGGAAATTGTTTGATGAAAGCTTCATAGGATTGTGGGGGCAGGATACTGTTAGTTTGCCCGGGCCCAGTCAGGATAACCATTATGGTCCTCAACCAACGCCTTTGGTTCAAAAACCTGACAGCGATACAGCGGTTTGGCGTTGGACTACAAGGAGTCCGTTTTAAGGAATAAGGCGCCACCCTTATTTCAACCTCCAACTTGTAGGACCAAGGGGCTGAGTTTGTCTGGCCTGTAACCATTGACCAATCTGGTATGAGTGGCTCTGAAGGTGCACAAGGCACCGCCCTGCATAGCTCAATGGGTTATTGAGGCAAACAAACCATTGCGCCACGGTATGGTCCAGCCTCATTGCGATGGACTTATGGGACCTCACCCCGAGCCTTTGGCTAAATAAGCTACCCACAAGGCGAATTTAGGAAATCGCGCTCATTGGGAGTCGCTAACTGTATGTTCAGTTCATGTCTTTCTTTTGGTAGATCACGAAACGTGCGCCCAATATTCTTCATGAAATCATCACAATTGCCTTACTACAATGCCTCACCGAGATGGAACATAGTCGCCGAACGCTTTGCTGGAACGGGGTGCACCCGAACCACCCAGCCGGTACCACGAGAAGATAGTTCTACAAGCCAGCCGTTGCTCATACAGACCAATTGTGAACGGATTTATGTTGACAAGTTGCCAGCCACCGGGCAGAAGAAAGAGAGAAATTGTTGTTATCTTTTTTGTTTACAAAATTGACGGGATCAGGAAGTATGCCTTCGCCGTTACGCACCTCCTGCTGCGGTCGACTCGAGGGAGAGACTCTCGTAGAATATTCGCACGGCTAGCAAAGGTCTCTAATCGGCGATTGGATTTGAGCGCATCGCGGTCGACTTGACTGAGAATACTTGTAGCTCGGAGTGTAGATGGAGGTGTTCACTTGTTTCCCGAGTTGTATGTTTTAGCTACAAATGATTCGTTAACTGACTAAGCAATATCACCAGTGCAAACTTCCGGAAACATATTGCTGGTTAACGAAATAGCAGTTTGTCGGAAAGCGACGCACATCGATCAATATCTTGAACTAGCATAACAATCACCTGATAATCCACGAACACAGCTGCGTGAGAATTCTTTTTAAACGGACCCAAACACATTGCGGCGCGCCGCAACTGTGGAAGGTAGAAGTGGACTACCTATTCGGCATACTTACACGGATTTCATACCATAGAACTTTCATTCTACGCTTTCTGACATCGAAGAGGCCGCCGCAACTCACAACCACACCTGCAGCAGATAAGAAGACGATTACATTACGTTACATAAAAACAAATTTCTTAGATGGCAGTGAGTTTTCTACTGCCTCTCATGAAACTACGAAAACGCTTCATAACAAACTCTTCAGCGCTAACGGCAAGTTGCACCACGAAGAAGCAGCGCGCGTGCCTTACAAAGCCTGCAAGAACTGAGAGAAGTACTACATGGACTAAACAGGAAGAAGACTTGGTCCAAGGCTTCATGAACATAATCTTGCCATCCGCTAACGTGGTCAGAACTCACTGTTGTCGCTGCATATGAATGCCAAGGATCATCAAATCGATCTACAGAACGTTAGAGTAATTAGAAGAGTAAGAAGCCTCAGAGCTCGTGAGTTCATCAAAGTCTAGCACTCAGTCTGAGCACTTAAAGCTGGAGGCTGCTTACGAAGCGCTGCGGAACAAGTCAGCAATCTGCCTCAGGTCAACTGGACAAAGAAAGTGATCACTGGGCCATCCATGAAACACATTGGGTCAATGAGGAACACGGAAGCCAAGTGCTGAACAGCAACTGAAAATAAAGGCAAGTTAGGAGCATCGATAAGCGTTTCCCTGTAAGTTTGCACTAGTGACGCCGCCTGGTCTGATAAGGAAACATTTGCAGCTGAGGCATCCAGCTCGGAGAGCAACTGAGCACCGATGTCTGGTTTATCTTTATTTGGACTGCGGTAAGAACTTCTTGCTTAAGGACACCTAACCGAACTATGCCGCGTTGAATAAAGCGGCTAGGCCGTAAACAAGTGACCGGCTGCCGTGTTTCAGGGAAGAGCTGCCAACTGTAGAAGCGATCATGGCAACATCAAAATAGCGATTTATCTCCAGTCTGTGCTTGTTCGTTCTAAGCTTTTTTCGAAGTTTAACGCACACATGCTGCCACACGTTGGAATACGTTCGACTAGACTGTCCAGTCTTTCTGTTGTATGCAACGCACACTGCTCGAATACACCATCTATCGACGGTCGCCAGGGGATACTCGGAATATGGCCATTGTTTTCGTCCTCTGTCCGCCAGTACAGTCTTCTGTAGATATTTTGGTGACTCCGAGTCTTTTGATTCCAATATGGTCGCAGTAGGATTAAGGGTTGCTGTTTGACTGATCCATCGTAGAATGTAGATTCGACGCGTGCTGCAACTTTTGGTTTGAATGCCGCCTTTTTATACTGTTGGTAGAGGCGGAGAAATGATGAGTAGTCCCCTACTGTTGGCAACGTGTGGAAAGAGAAGCAGAGAATGGATAAAAAATGCACAAACTGCTGAATCTTGTTGGCAGGGACTGCCTTTTAATCACTGATTCTGAGAGGTTTTATCTCTCGGTTCCGTACTCTAACCTGTTCGCCCCAGAAGATCATGCAGATCTGGTAAAATAACTTGGTGGTAAAATGGTGTGGTTTTCTGATATTTGCTTCGTCCTTTCTTCTAGGGGATGACTCGGATGCGTTCACGGAGGGAGAGGATGATGATGAATATAAAAATTCCACAATTAGCGCCGATGATGCTTTCCGCATTATTAACCTCACAATTGCAAAGATGGATAATCATCTCTCAAATTTGAAACGGCACCAAGAGATTCTTTCTCGCAAAAGTGACGAACTTCAGCATGCTGTTACAGAGCTCGAAAGCGTCCGTAATCCCTCCGAGCTCGTTGAACGTTTTGGCGCTGTCCGCGAACGCATCATGGTGTTCAAGGTCGTTAGCACAGCGATGGTAAACGTAAGTGCCTTTTCCCCGTGTTTTCCTATCACAAAACACTTGCAAAGTACAATTTTTGCATTTGGCTACCGAATATTCATACTGCTTTTATTAACGTTACCATCTGAAATTGCTAGTCTTAAGATGCGGCGTAGTTTCTGTGTCTGGTTTCCGGATCACTAATATAAGATGATCACTTATTCCTTCGATATCGTTGATCCACTGAAATCGGCTACGTAATTGATCTTCGTTTTAAGACCTCAGCATTCCATGTGTTTTGCACACGATCGTGCCGCTCACCATTTTCACTCGTATCCTCAGTTTTTCGTACTGTGTATTGCATGGATACTTGATCTCACTGACGAAATGGGTGACCTCTAATGATTGCTGCGCCTTAATGCACCACGTATGTCCCCATCAGCTATTGGTGCTCGTTTTCTAAGCGCTTCATACTTTCCAGTTTCCATCACATCTACAGTTGTGCAGTTTGGATGGAAACAAGCGAAGCTGTGCTCTGCTTGATATCTCGTTACCCTTTCCCGATGATAGCTTGCGTTATTTATCGCTCGTATCGTCTTCAGCTTTTGACTTGCTAACGTTTTCATCTACCCACGTAAATCACTTGCTCTCTCCGAATCGCATCTACTGTGACAAAGTACTATGTGGTGTTGTTACATGGTTGTCGGATAATATAAATATTCAACTAACTCGATTGCTTACACGTCCGGTGCACTGTCATGCTTCGTTACCCAAGTACTCTCTTCCTGACTCCTTAGATTTTCAGTCTTACGATGTTTCCTATCCTGTACCTTTCCTGCTGTTGAGATTCAACACTTCTGGATAAAAATGGAAACTCTCTTTCGGGACGTTATTTTGCTACCTCAAAAGAAAACATGTGGTACTTAGCTACTCGTGCACGCTCTGTTTCTTTCGTAAAACCTTCATCCCATCGCTCATGGTATCTGTTTTAAACCACTCATTTCTACTGCGTCCATTTTGAATTAATAAGTTCGATACCCTGTTCGTCCAACTGTGGAACAGCCAAGAGCTACACCAGGCGTAGGGTTTTCCTGTCATTTAATCTAAGAGTCACAGTTTCGAGTACCATTACCGTGTTCAGCTTAGCAAGTTACAAGTTTCCAGCTCCCTCTTTGGGCACTGATTCGTGTTACTCATTTGTGGTTTTCGGTTCATTTCAGCTGACCGTCTTTAGTTTGGACATCAAAGTCAAGGGGATGTAGTTGCTTTAAGTACCATTACCGCTACATTTTAATAACAACAAAATCGAGAAGCAGCGGTGGAATTGAAGGATGGAAAAGTTAACCATTAGAAGCAACATAGGGTAGAAGCATCACCTCTTCTCGACTGCACCATATCAGAGGCAAGGCAAGAAATATCAGCAGTAAGTTGATACGACGTAGCGCCGCTCTGTTGCCACTGGGCCTATTCCAGTGGCGTATGGGTTAGTGATACTGCGAAGTCGCTGGCATCGGACGGCGTTGCGTAGCTTACGAGCTAGATCCCTGAATCACTAGGCCACCGACTGGGCAATCTAACCATGGCAGCGCATGTGCTTGTAACCACTAGCATGATCGACCCCGATCTCTCATTCAGGATGACCAACTTCTGCACTTCGACCACACTTTTCGGTCAGTTTTCTCATACTCTTTTGTCTGTCGCCGGTTGGCGCAGCTATGACTTGTTACGCTTCGTGTAGCTGGTCAGCAGGCACACGATCTGATTAACCTAGTCAGACAAGTGACTCTGGGATTAACAGAGGGTATTTCTTCACCAGATTCCAGACCTCCTTGTCACTCGGTGGTCCAACCAACTCCTGATATCGCTTCTCAACTTCAGTATTAAAAAAGGGGCAGTCACATGATGCCTTCAATGCATGGTTATTATTGTTCTACTATTATGTTTTCTTAGTAGGTCCGTCGTAGCTGGACTCAATCAGGTAGCCACCACGCATTCGGGCAAGCACTAGAAATCAGTTGCGCCCTACTGTGACTCGTCAGCTATTCGTATTTCCTTAGACCCTATTGGATCCCAACCAATAATTACTCTCTTACCAGCCAGCGACTTAAGCCATTGAGCTATGAACGGAAGCGGAGGACAGCCATAACTGAGGAATAAAACGGTTATTTATTTGTTTATTTAGCTGCAATGTAGCGTGCCTCATTTTCCACTGTCACGTCTGTTGTAAACATGGGTTTGCTCCATGTGCTACGATTTTATGTCACTCGTGCCTTATATCTAAGCTCCTGTCTGCCTGTTTCGATTGTTTTTTGAGGCTAAATATTCTGTTTTACCCTCTTTCGGAATTCGAACCCCAAGTTATATGGTCTTACAATCGGATGAACCCATCACTCATCTCCAGATTATCAAGTAGGGATGAGAACTGATGACACGTCAATCCAGCCGCAACTCCATGCCTTGCGATTCGGATGTGCGAAATCGCCTCGATACGTGCTGCACTGTGCATTAAACCGTCAGCAGCACTTTCATTGCACATGGATGAGCTCCAAAAGGAACTAATTCGTCCGCGCGCCCTATTTTGTCGGCCTATTATGTGCCAAAATTTCAACACCATTTAAAGTAGCCGATGGTTTGTGAGATTCATAACCCCGAGGTTAAGAACTAAGCAAAGGACTTGTGACACTGTTCTTGACATATTCACCCCACTTAAACCTCTCTGCTGCACTCCCTTATCTCTTCTGTTGCCGTTTTCGAAGGCGTGTACAGAGTTCACGGAAGGTGGACACAGTCAGATTCAACGGTGGCGACGTGTATTCAACGGTCAGCGAGAACGGTGTGCCGTTTTGGAGCAAATGGTCGAACAATTAGCGAGACAACTACGTCATTTGGAAACGCTCGTGAGGCAGAAAAATCCACATGCTTCATTGCTTTCATACGGTTAGTGATTTTGTACTCTAATTTAAATGTTTCACACATTCACCAACATGCACACTTGTGATTCTCTCTCATTGTCCGGTGTCCTCGACTACCTGCTTCAGAAATATAACTTCATCTCACTTTACAAGGAAATGATAAAGTGATCCGAATGATAAACTTAGAAATTTATCATATGTAGACTCAGTCCGACAACTATGACATGCCCGGAAAAGCTCTGTGCCGCCATCTCATCCTTCCGGAAGTCGTCGGCAGTCCGCATTATGGGACTCGAACCCGAAACTCGACTGTTACCAGTCTGTGGTTGACACCGCTGAGCTATGAGGCACAATAACTGTAACAGTAACTGTTACAGCCATTTGAACTGCTGCTTCGCTGCCATTCAACCATAATGACCTATGGAACGCGGAATAATAAGAGGAGGAGCAGGGGACTTACCGTAAAATTTTAATGCCCTAAGCAAACATTCAGGGTCAAAGCGCCCGCACCTTGTCAACAACATGCCATCACAAACAACTGGCTGTCTTGCAAAGATAAGGCGGCATCCGCGAGACTGCTTCCTTGCGGCTTTCACTTCCCCGCGTCACAATCATCCATTACTTCACAGAAAACGCGCTTCTTGTGCCCACTGCGAGCCATGTCCTGTAAACTTTCGAGCCAAGCACAAGGCGGGTTAAGTGGACTCTAGCCCGGAAGGCGAGACGAGCCTACGGCATCCGGTTTGATCATCAGTGACTTCACTTCATGCTGCCAAGTCAACTTTTGTCCACCTCGAGTCTTGTGCTACCTTACACCTGGCAGATAAAACAGGACCCTCCTTGGTAAGCAGTGATCGGGCTTATGTAGTACGTGCCCAAGCCAACGTAACTTATACAGTGCTGTCTGTTGTTATGAGGAACTAGCTTGAGTGCCACTTCGTAGCACTCTCCTACGCACATCGTCGTTGCGAACACTGGCGCCACCCGATGCTAGCAATGCTCCGCTGACAGCGATGCTCAAAGACTTGATGGCGCCTCAGATCTTCATACCGAAGGGGCCAAGTCTCACTCCCATAGAGTAAGACGGCCGTCACTGTGGCTTTTCAAACGGAGGGAAACCCCTTTCTGTCACCAAAGATGTCGCAAATTAAAAAGGCAATTCAGGCTTTTGCATTGCGTGAACTGGCTTCAGTTGCTTTGCACCCGCCGTTGCAGATACAGCTGCCAAGGTGAGTGAATCGATCAACTACCTCGAGTTCCTCGCTGTCTGGGGCCGGTAGTCGAGTGGTTTGCACGCCTGGGTTGCAATCATAAGGTCACCGGTTCGAATCCGCGTAGGCGCGGGCATCCTCGCGCTCTACTCAGCCCGCGCGCAACGGGTGGTGGTCGCGAGGCAGCGAAACCCCCTTACGGCGTGCAGTTGACGATTTACCTATTTAGGGTCAAGGGATCATCAAGTGGTTGGTGGTCCTCTAGCAACACTACACTTTGAACGTGCGAAACACATACCAAATAATGGAAACACTTTACACAGGTTATTCAGGGTTGATTTCGCCGCCCCAACATCGTTAAAGAGCCGGACGATATCGTCCGCATAATCAGAATTAACTAGCCTTTCACCAAGCAGCACCTCAATGCCTGCATCACGAGATTCCGCAAGCGATCACTGCATGCTTGTATCAACGACGAAATTGAACAGAAACGTGGGAATTGAACAAACCTAATGAATGTCACTTGTTGTCGGAACTTATCCGACAAGTCACTGTAGACCCTGACGCGGCCTGTCGTGTTCGAGTACAGTACACGTAAAATGTTCGCATATTTCATGGGATCATCTTTTCGCGCAACTATTCCGAACAGAATGCATCCATCGGCTGAATCGAACGCATTCTTGAACTCGAGAAATACAGTTATTGTCGGTCTGCGGTATGCGTGGCGCTGCCCTAGCACACGCCACAGAGTGAATATGTGCTCTATACAGCCCCGTCCTTGACAGAAACCTGTCTGCTCTTCCCTACTCCGTGATTCCCGTTCCGTAGTGAGGCGGCGAACGAGAATCGAGGTTTGTAATTTTGTCACTGCGTGCGTTAGACTAATACCCCTGTGGTTAGCACAGTCGGTGCAACTGTCCTTGTATATTGCCACGATGATAGATTCACTCCAGTTAACCGGGACGGTTTCCTCCTTCCGTACAAGTTCGAACAGGGAGGTCAATGCTTTGCAGAGGACCTTACATCCGTCCCTACATAGAGCAGGTGTCAGGGAATCCGTGCCAGCGGAAGGAAAACGATTGAGGTCTGTGATCGTGTTTCGAACCTCAGCCTCCGACAAAGGCTCTAACCTAACTGTGCCTGGCTCATCCTGCATCACCTGTGTGGGAAGAGGTCCGGGAGCGGGGGCCAGCTGAACCGATCTTGGTGTTCCGCCCAACGAGCCATACGGCGCTCCTTATTGTTTATCAGAGCATTCGCGCTGTCTTTTAGTGTTTCACTGACGCCTGGTTTCCTGGGACCAATGGTTCGGATCAGGTCAGGTCAGGTTCTCAGAACGGTATAGACTTCCGCCTACCGACCGTCCTGCTTCTTGCATCGCCAAGCAACCAAGCGCCCCGGTACTTCGACTTCCAATTGCGTTTGCTTCTGTATAGAAAGGGAAGCAATAAGAAGCAATCTTATACATTATCCTTCATGAGTTCTCTGCAACAAGCATCGATAAGTGTAATATTTGGAAAAGTTCTGATCAACATCTGTCTAGACCTCTTTTGAAGGCGTCAACCGTTGTACATCGACGAACGGGGAAGCTTGTTCCAACTTCTGACAACACGGTCCACAAAGTAGTTCCCCCTGATATCTAGTCGAGACCTCCGATATTTGAGCTTAAGATGATGACCTCTCAGCTGATCTGATGTAGCTAGCTCAAACAGGTCAGTAGACTTGATGCCACTTAGGTCCTTCATGATCCGAAACAGCTTTATTAGATCTCTTCAATCTACGCCTCTTCATGGAAAACAGTCCCAAGCTCTTTAGACGTTCATCATACTGCTTTTCATGTTGGCCCTAAATCATTCTAGCCACCAGCTTCTGCACTTTCTCTATACACATAGCATCCTTCCGGATTTTCGGCGCCCACGCTTGGACACAGTATTCTAAGTGGGGTCGTACCACCGCTTTATACAATGAAATGAATACCTCCGATATAGTGTTACATAAGGTCCTCCTTAGACGGAAGAGTTCCTGCCGCGCCTTGTTGGCAGCATGCTGACATTGTGCTGTGAGTGCGAAGTTATTCGTAATAAAGACTCCTAAGGTCCCGTGCTTTATCAAAATTTTGCAGTGTCAGGGTCCAGTAGAAGTCTGCTCTGTAATCCCATCATTGCTGGAAGTCAGCAGCTGGCATTTGTTGGCGTTAAGGGGCAAATTCCATACGACAGACCACTCTGCTACGGTGCAGAGATCCTTGGACAACGTGTCTCTATTAGCTCTGCTAACCAGTTTTAGATCGTCGGCAAAGGGGTTCTCAAGAGGAGGTGCCAAGTCATTTATGAATAGGAGAAATAACAGGGGACCTAAGACAGAGCCCTGCGGAACATCACTATGAGCGGTGCCTATACTTGAAATGGCATCACCGACTCTAACGTGGAAGGTTCTTTCTAAAAGAAATGCTGATATCCAAGTCAACAATTGAGGATGAATCCCAAGCCAGGCCAGCTTCATTAGTAGAAAACGGTGGCCTCGGCCTCGCTGAAGTCAAGATAGCAAACTACTGAAATCCCATTATCAAAACAACGTGTTACTTCACTCAAGAGACACAACCAATTGGTAATGCATGACTTCTTGACAAAGCCGTGTTGTTTCACTCCTATCAAATTGTGAGCAACTAAGTACTATTAAATTTGGCTTCTGATAAGCTTTCCCAAACGTTTGAACAAACCGCTTGTGAGGCTGACAGGCCTATATTTGACGGGCGCACGTTGTCTGGTCCCGCCGATTTGTTGGGGTCTAAGCTAGCCAGTACACTAAAAACTGACACTGTTAGCGGAATGGCTGACATTGTACTCCCGGTTTGACGATATGCTTATGAAAAGACTGGACACCCTTCATCAACACGATGCACTCTCTGATAGACACGCAGCAGCACTGCCTTATCTGCGTCTTCTGTAGCATGACTTCCTCTCTCCATGCTCAGGTTACTAATTCCATCTTTTTGACTGAACGTAATTGTAATACAACTTAGGCTTCGTTTTCACATTCTGAGCTTTTCGAAGCTCAAAGAAGTACTTCGCTTTTCTACGCAATTTGACTGCTGAATTCCTGCATCTTTTGTAATGCAGCCTGTGTCTAAACCCTCCAGATGCCTGAAACTTCTTCCGAGAATCGTTTCACCGTTTAATCGCTCGAGCTATTCCTCGGCACCACCAACACGTCCTGGCACCATGTCCTTTCTGCCTCAACGGAGCAAACTTTTCTAATAACTAGACAAGTCCATTTTTAATCAAGCTCCAACTGTGCTCTAAGGTGGCCTGTTCTGGTTCAGGAAACCTGTCTGTCTGCAGGGATCGGTCTCGTAACTGTGTGAGGTCAATTTGGCTCAGGTTTCTCACAAGTCGGCATTTTGTCAAAGACCTTTTTGAATTTAACGGGAAAGTAATCACACAGTGGTCACTCTTACCGATTGGAGTCTCGGCGTGTACCTCTGACAAGTGTCCACATCTGGCTATCGCAACCTCCAGTCTTGAAGGAGTACAACCAACTCGCTTCCTCCTTGGGAAATTAACATGCTGGACATAAGCATTCTCATTCACCCATTCTACCAGATCTCGCTCCAGCGTATCTATCGTGTTCGTTGCATGGACCCAATCTGCATGCGGAAGATTTAATTCACCGATCATCACAAAGTTCGGTGCTATCACCACTGCTTGTTTGAGCAGCCTACTAAGCGTACAGGACGGGCTACGATACACGCAAATAATTATTTCCAACCCTCCCTCCAACCACAGAAAGCTCAAAACGACTTGGATACTAGGTT